ACACACATGGTGGCAAAATCGATTTCGCCTGTAAAAACAAAGGGAAAATCTCGAATCCTGTTGACTTTGTCAATGGGTCCTCGAAACATTAAGGGCGGCGAAGATGTGCGATAGGCACATCCTGGGCACCCTACTCAACACTCAATACTTAAAACCCAATACCCCTATTATGATCGATATTCCCCTCGGGCAGCGTTTAAGATTACCAAGAAAACTTTGACTTTGTCAAAGAGCCCAGAAAATAAATGATGTTCGTGCTGTGCTGCTGCTGCAGAGGGTGGTTATAATGGGCTTTTATATTATTTTGCTAGAACTGAACCTCGCCCACGCACAAAGTTGTTTGAGACCAGAGAAACCGAGGCAGAAAACTGAAAATGAACCCAAACTCATCTATCAGCTGTTTGAGTATGTATTTGTTTCTGTGTGGGCGGCCTTCTCCACCACCTCCCCATTTTGGGTGTTTTGCTTTTTGGAAGGGATTCTGGGGGTTGATTTTCCTTTGACGTCAGTCACACTCATTGAGGTTATGTTAGGTCTCAGAAATGTAGAAAACCATTAAGGGGAAAATTCGTTTATCAGTGGGAAAGTCTGTGCAACATTTGACATTTGTTAAACTTCAATTTGGTATGATTTCCTTTTGTGTTTCTAACTTGATTAAGAGGTTTATTCTAAATAAATGAAATATGTGTATTTTTTGTTAATTAGATCCTACAAATCAAATACCGAAACAAGATATATTAATGTTTGCGAAAAGGAATATGCTCAGGGGCAACACTATTTAATATTCGTCAAATAGGCAAACACCCCAGTCATCAGACATGTGTTATATATTTGTCTACCTGCACAAATTATCCCAAACTTAATCCCACATAAATAAAGGCCCCCCAAAGGTGTGACTTTCCTCGTGTGCGAGCTTCAATTGAATTGTAAATCATTGTTAATTATTATTGATTCGCACTCTCCACCAAAAATCTACGTATACACACATTATTTTTTGTGTGCAAAAAATGGAATAAAATTTCCATTATGCAAGCGTTCGGCTGCCGCATGCTGCCCACAAAATGCGTCCTAATTTCCAATTGAAAGGCCAACTCCGAGCTCCAAAAAAACTGGACAATGTGCCAATGCTGAAGTCAAGTGGGCTTTGTGAAGTCTTGTGGCAGCCACAACAACCAAACACGGCCAAAGACAACTGAAAAACCAGCAACCAAATCTCCAACTCCGGTGTCCACAACTTCATTTGTCTCGCTGTCAATTTGTATTTCTTTTTCTTCGATTTTTTTCATTTTTTTTTACCATATAAATTGGGCCATAAGCCAACAACAACAATGGTCAAGCGAGCAAACACAAACATATAGTTTTTTATTTTTCCATACATATATCATCCCATCCATCCAAGTCCAATTATGCACAGCTCAAAAGTTATAAGAAATATATTGTAATATGTGCGTCGCCCAATTGGCCAATATTTATTTTGGCATTCCGGCTTGCAGAAATCAGAAATCCCCTTCGATCCCCTTGCCACTCGAATGATTGACAGCTTGCAATTGTCGAACATTTCCATTTTGGCAGGTTTTTTATTTCACTGGTCATTAGGGCTAAACTTTTTTTGGGGCGAAATGTATTGTGACATAGGGGGTTCATTTAAATACGCTTCAAGTATTTTAGTTGTGTTATTTATGTTTTATATTTAACAACTAACAATAAGTAGGTTCATAGTTTTAGAGCTTAAAAAATATATGTAATTCTGTTATTCTGTTATAAAATTCTTATCAATGTATTTGTGTTATATTGCAGTTGTATTTGAAGTAATTCTATTTGCCCAATTTTGAACCTAATTGGTACAAAATATTTGTATCGCAATGCAAAGGTATTAATACAAAACAAAGAACACCCCTTCATTTACTCACTTTCCTCACTTGGTTTTTGTCCTAATCGTTATCTTTTTGCGACTGATAAAAACAAATTAAGCTCTTTTTTTCTGGCCCACAGAACGCATTTCTTGGGGGAAACGTTCAAAAATGATGCGTTGATAAAGCAAACGACCCCAAAAAAATAAGAAAATACTGAAAATAAAAACAAAGTCAAGACAAAACGTGAAACGAAAGAAAAGGCAGCAACAAGTTGGTATTGAGCGAATGCGGAACCAGAGAAGCATGAGAAACCGAAGCGAAATGGCTTAAAAACAAATGACTATTACCGAGGAAAAAAAACCCGTCTGCGGCAGAACCTTTGCTGCTGTATAAGGCAATTTTGGCATTGGAATTCCGAGGGAGTAACATTAAAATACATTTAAAAATCAAATTAAGTGCCAAAGAATTTGGGACTTCGAAAGGGAAGGGAATAATAGAAGGAAAAGTAAATCAAAAGAGAGTTCGAAATGTAAGTCAATTAAATAAAATTGTAAGGCCACAGAAAATATTCAAAATATTTCATTATAAAATACAATAAAAATAAGATACATAAATATGCAGTTTCGGTAAATAATGATTCCTAATTCGCATTTCAAAGAAGCAAATTTGCTATGAATTAGTGAAATTTGAAGACTTTTAAAACGATCACAACTAATGCCATAACATTTATGAGAAAGTTAAATTTATTATACAAAACATGTGAATCCATTAAATTTTCATAAACTCAAAGCAAATTTAACGGTTTTAACTTAACATATTAAATAGATTTATTAAAATGTATCTTAAATAAAGGAGAAGCTTAAGATATCATTTAATTTATGATTAAATGTTATATTTATATGCCCGGCAAAAGAACTTAACAAACTTTAAAAAACAGAGCTTTACTTGGGACTTATTTTTTACATTTTGAAATACTTACGAACCCCATAAGGTATACAACTTTAGTTAACGAAGTAAGATATATCACCTAGCGCCCTCTTGAACTACTTTCGTGAAGTATTACCCAACTTAATAAATATAATTTTCATGGGGTTTTTACAACCAACACTACGGAGAAACGGTTCCCTGATAAGAATTACGATTTGAGACCCACAATCGATGACAGAAAAATTGTATTTCATACGGCTGGCTGCTTACGAAACTCAAAAACGTCGATTGGGATTTAAGTTTTATTATTAATTTTCGTTTGTTTTTTATTTTTTTGTTGATAACATAAAGCTTATCAAAAATGGGGGAATATGGTGATAGATGGGTACCGTGGAAGTACGAAACAGTGGGGCTGGAAAACAAACGACCTTCGTGAGGGGAAAAAGGGGCGTTGTGGGTGGCAGTTAGAAGATTTAGATGAAACAACGAAATGCAAAACTATCGAGGCAAAAACCAAGCGAAATTCGAAAAAGTTATAATGAAAAGGGTAGAAAATGCAAATTTAGCTGAAAGTAAAGGGCATTTGAGAGGGATAGGAGTACAGAGAGAACGAGATGGGGCAAATCGAAGCCAGGTGGAGCAAAAGAGACGGAACATGAGGGTCAGTTCGCCAGCATACGGTAACAGCTGCTCTTTGGAAGAGTAAGGAAAAGGGAGAAAAAGAGCAGAACAAGGAAGATGATGATGAGGAAGATGAGGAATAGGGAAGCATGCAAAGAAAAACACGAGAAGAAGGAGATGCACAGTGGTTGCACAAACCCAAAATTCCTTGAACCAAAATCAGGTAAATAAACTATGAACCCTCGATACATACAACGTCCATTGGCAGGATCACCTCGAAAATAACAGCAAGAAATCTATTTAAAATTCATTTTGTAGTTGAAGTGAAACGAAGATAAAACACATTTATTTATTTTGGGCTAAATTCAATACTACAGTTTGCCAATACTAGAATTATCGAAAAAATTAAATTTATATTCTTGTCAAAATAAAGTTCAAGCATTTTTCGAAGTTAAATAGATGCTTCCTTTAACACTTAACCAAGAATATATATAACAAATTTATAAGTAAGTTTAAAAATTTATGGAAAAAAATATTTTCATAGCTGAAATGTAGCCCAATCATTAAAATATGAATTTTATGTTGTATTTTGTTTAAACTTCCAGGTAATTTTCATAACAAAACCACTGTGCCGTTATCCACACAAAAACTCTCTTTTTGTCTCCCGTCCACGCGAGTGTGTGTGTTGAGTAGAAGCTCACACACACAGGCCAGGCACAAGAAAGAAGAAAAAAGTAAATAAAACAAGTTTTGAGACGCAGAAGTTTTTCAGAAAAATAAAACAGACTCGCGACTGACTTTCTTTAACATTTTTAGCTTTGTTTCGGTGTTTTTGGGATTTCGCTTTTATTTTTTTGGCAGCTGTTTTTGCACAGAAAGAAAAAATACGATGATCAAACCGATCAATTTGACCATCATTTCAACAAATTGCTATGTCAAAAAACATTTACTTGCGAATTTCATTTTTATGTTCAAATTTTGTTCTTGATTTTACCCTTTGATGAACAAATGTACACTTTAAATTGATTTAACCATAATTTCAATTTAATTTAACTTATTCGCTTTTCATTATAAGTCTTCGTCTTAAGTAATATTTTATTTTGTAAAGCATCAAATTATGTTAATACAATTAAGTTTAAATAAATAAAATCTGAATTCAGACAAATATTGACATCCGCAAGTCGAACTAGATTTATTTGTAAAAGAGTGTAAACACGTGTTGGACTATTCTGATCTCGAACTCCACAACTTATCTTTTGTTTTTGGCTTGATAGCTACATATGGTTTCTGTGTAGGTTTAATCTCGATTTAACGACTTCTACAGATCAAATCACAAATCAGTATGAACGATTTATATAAATGCAATTTTTTTTTACAGAAAAATAATCTAAAACAAAGATATTATTGTATTTATTTGAATAATGCACTTGAATAACGTTTGGTTAAGATTTTCCTTCATTGTTTTTTACCTAAAGATCTACTCCTCAAGGGAACTGGTAAGTAGAAATGTGACTCGATATCGAGCTGCTTTTCTTTCCGTGTGGAGATGCGAGAAACTTGTTTTTTGCGTATTTTTTGGCAAGGGAAAAGGAAACTCACCTGGCAAACGGCGTCTGTTCCACCTCGTAGATCTCGTTGATGTCGTGACACGACACGAGAAGTCCCTTTAGCCGATCGGCGTCCACGTCCAGAAGTCCGTCTCCAATGGGAAAGATTCCCTTTTCGGTGAACATGGTGTGTGTTTGTTGTGTGTGTGCTGTGGTGTGTTGTTTTGTGTGTGTGAAGATCGAATCTTCTTTCGATTTTTTGACTTTATAATCCTTCGTTTGATTGCCTTTTGTATTTTGCGGGGGTAAAATTCAAATCTCAACTGCACAAGAACCAAAAAAAATTGTAGTTTTAATGATAAACACACACGCTTAAAAATAATTCTGCGGAAAACGTTGCGCGCGCTCTCTCCGTTTTCCACACAGAGAGAGGGAGAAGACAAAATTCCAGTACAAAACAACAAAAAAAAAAATAAAAGAAGCAAAAACTATGCAACTGCAACACACACACACACGCGCGCTAAGCGAGGCCCGAAAAAATTCCCGCGTGTGTATGTATGTGTGAGGCTGTTGCTGCTCCGTTGTTTTTATTTTTGTTATTTTCGGTATTTTGCAAGTACCGTTCTCAGCGAAGAACTCCTCTCCTGCTTCTTCCTCGTTTGGCAAAGTGCGAAAAATGGCCCGCAGATTTGGCCAGGTGCTGTTGTTGTTTTTGTTGCGGATACGGAGGTACGGATGCACAAGAAACTCGCGAGCGCGCACGAACCGTTCGTTGGCGAGGAAAATTTCAATTTGCTCGGAGAAACGCCGATAACGACGATTATTATGGGCAGTGGGTAGAGGTGGAGAAACTCCGATTGGTCGGGTGGTTGAGAACTTCGGTGGTTGCGAACTTGGAATGCGAACAGAAATGTTAAAAATCAACGTTTTCCTTACATTCAGTTACAAATCATAATATTCCTAAGAGAAATAATTCTTATCATAATTTTCCTAGCACAAGTGGGCTTTTTAAAATTATGGAAATTTTACAAAAATGATAACTTGGATGCTTGAAAGTTTTTATTTTTTTTTTCTGTTTTAAAATAAAATCTTGTACCACTCTTCTTCGTAGTGTCTTTGGTACAATAATTTTGGTCTTAAAGCCGTGTTATAGGTCCCACTTTTTGCATGTAAATTACACATATTTTAAAACAAAAAAAAGCTGAGCGGCTGGTATGTCGAGATTGATTTAAAGCATATATCTTACATCTCAAACAACATTTTGATGAGAAGAGCGATTACCGCCATCGAGATTTCCCGCTATTGGTTGATAACTCGGATAATACAACCGATAAAAAGGTTAGTTATCAATTGGTTGATAACTTGGATAATACAACCGATAAAAATGTTAGCTATCAATGCTTGTCTGAATGTCATCAACGTTTTTCCATCTCTAACGATTAGCAAGCCACTTTATAAATGGTCACACCAAGAAAAACCGTTAACGATGTCTCTAACGGTGCTAACAGAAATGTTAAATTCAACTGCACACTGGGCCTATTTAAAAAACCCAAAACAATGTTTGTAAAATCTATTAAAAGATAAAATTATTATAATGTTATCAAAGACCAATGATTGAATTACTTTAATTACCAAGTTAAGGAAAAATAGTCGTTAAATTTTGGAAACACTAAAAAAAACATATATCTTTCGCCATGTTGCGGGTATGAGCAAACATGGTACATATAAATAATGTCTGAGTTATGATATAGCTCTATATATTTATTGTTTATGCCGAAAAAAAGGGTGTATCCTAACATGCCTGTTAAAACTGTGACTGTGGCTTATCTAAATATACCTGCAGTCGGGAATTTTGGGCTTAAATTTTAATAACATTGTCTTTTATTTTTAAAGTATTTGAAATTTAAACGTAAAAAATGATATAATTTAATCCTGATTTCTCTGCTCTAAGGAAATGAAATAAAATTCAAACTATTTCCCTTTTTTACTTTACCAAATCCAATAAAATATTTGATCATCAAATTTGGAAGATATGTTTTTCGCAATCAATACAATTTAGTTTAGGGCCATATATGAATTATATTTAACACAATCAATACAATTTAATTAGAAGCTATAAATTCAAATGAATTATGTACGGCATTGTCACCTTTTTAATTTTTTACTACTGAGCTTGGTAACATGGTAACATTGCACCGAATTCAAAACATGTTTTTGCTCAAGTAGTATTTTTGAAAAATATATATTTTCCTTAAAAGAAGAGACATCCAATTTGTTGTGCGTTTTGTGTGGCGCCTGTTGTCGGGGCGTGGGGCGTGGCCCAGCCCACAAATAGTTGGCATCTCGCGTGTCTATTGAATTCTCAATTTTATATTTATATTTATGCTTGCAGTTCCCTGGCTTTTCCTCCCCCTCCCAGTTTTTCCGCCGATTTCCCTGGCGAGTGTAGGTGTGCCCGCCTGCATGAGTGTGTGTGTGCTCCACTTGCAAACCGATGCACATTTTTCATGCACTTAAAAAATAATTTTAAGCTTTAAAAAAGTTATGATAGCAAAGATAAGTCAGAAGAAATTTATAGAAATCGACACAAAGCTTGTTAAAATTTGAATTTAAAACTGCTCCCATTTTACATGATGACAACAGTTTCCATTTATTATTTATAAGAAATGGTATTCTTCAAAATTGGAATAGAATTTGAATATATGGTAGCCAAATTTGAAGGCTAATATTTTTTTTTTCAGTGCAATCGGATTGGATGGGATATGCAGTGGATATGCGTTATGCTTGCAGCTTTTCGTGTGTGTCGCATATATTTTTGTCACCACGACGGCATCTCAGGAATGCGGAGCACCAGAAATAAACCAAGTGCAAAAACCTTTAGCATCCATCTATTTATAATGCCGTCGTCTCCGGATCTCCTCGAGTTTTTTTTTTATTTAGCTTTTTGCCGGACGGTCGCCTCGTTCCTGATTTTCTTCTTGCCGCGAACTCGCCAAAAACTCCTCTTGGCAGCCATTCAAGTTTAGCAGATCCGGCTTTTGACCTACGGAAAATGCTTGGCCACTGCATAAATAGAAAATCGGATCGGCGAGCGATCGCGAGTAACCCGAAAAGTGTAAAACGAGAAGAAAAGGAGTATTCTATATGTATTACAAAATTTAGAATTTTGCGATTGAATTAGAATCTTTTTTGGAAATGCTAGTGTCATTTCCATTAATTGCAAAAAAATGTAATTTTGGAAATATGATTTCTGAGAATAAGAAAAAGTAAAATACCTCTAATAAAATACCTTTGCTTTTGTGTGCTTAAACAATTTTATATATGTCCTATAATAAATTTGTTTCTATTTGAATTACACAATCAAACATTTTTTTTTTTTTAAGTCTTTCTAAATTATACAATTAAGTTAAGTTTGTATGTTTTTTTAGAATACATTTTTTTTTGGGAATTTAAAACATTTAATTTTATACATTTCTCTGCTTGAAATTTATTCTCAACAATTACTGAAAAATCATTCTGAATTACAGGCCTATATGCATAAATTAATGCATTTATACATATTTAAATCAGAAATCCATAGCGACGAGAACGAAAAACATATTTAAATGCATTTATGCATTGCTTTATTTGGGGGTGCTTAAATTCTGAAAATCGCATCCAAAATGTAATCTCAAAAGATTGAATGTTGAAGAATTAATTTTCTGACGTGTCGATTTTTAAGATAGGGCATGTCAGTTATTCGAAACATGAGCTCTATAACTCTTATTATACAAAAAGATTTAATAAAAGTTTTAGGTCTTATGGTTTGGGTTATTGCACTATGACGCGATTAGAACCTTGACTCCCATTCTTTTTAGGTACAATTTCTAAAGAAACACACAATATTATAAATTTGAATACTTGTACTCTACGGAGTTACAATTCCATGTAAATAGTTTTAAGTTGTAAGCATAGTGTGTGTGTGCTTTTAACCTTAGTTACAGAAATGCAAAGACATCCAGCTGACTTGTCAAAATGATGCAATTTAAATGTTGGTTCCTCAACTGCTAACTATACACATAATTCGTAAATAGTAAACTAATAGTTGTTAGGCTGGTAAAACGAAAACAGGCTTTCCAAACAAGTGTACAGTTTAACAAGGCATAAGAATAGATATAGTTTCAAAAGAAAAAACAGCATTATGAACTTATGTCCTCGTACTCTGCGGAGTTGCATCTCCAATCAAAAAAGTTCTAAACATAGCAATTTAAAAACTATACATGAAGTTTAAAAACCAAAATTAAACAAAGACAGAGATAGAGACAGAGCGCAGTTGGCTTACCACAAAAGTTTACAGTTTAATGAGACATAAAGTGGGAATTTGGTTTTATTTATCAAAAAAAAAATAAGATGCGGATTCAGCTGGCTGCTGCTGGGCCACCAGCCACCAGCTACTTGTCCTTCTTGTCGGCGGCCAGGGCGTTGTACAGGCGGTTGACCTCGTTGGCCACCAGGTTGTCCAGGACGATGCCGTTCTGGTCGATGAAGGCGGCGCAGGACTTGTTGCTGCTCTGCTCGCGCCGCTTGCCGTTCTTTGAGTCGCGCACGCTGAGGGTCAGCAGATACTTGTCGTCGTACTTGCGCATGTCGGAGCTGGCCTCCCACAGCCGCTCCCGCTCCTTGTCCTTCTGCAGGGCCACCGCGAAGGTGCCCTTCTCGCGGAAGCTGGAGTGCAGGGTCAGGATGCCCAACAGGGCGAAGTAGGCCAGCACGCTGAACAGCAGGACGGGACGCGACTGCGGGAATGGGTGGGTAAAGTCCCAGGCGTGGGCCATGATGGCCACGCCCACGGCGAGGGCGCACAGGGCCAGCCGGGTGTTGACCAGCCCGAATTGCTCCTTCAACTGGGGACGGTCGCCCAGCAGGCAGGTCTTCACCGCATCGTCCAGGGCGTGCTTCACCGCCGATCCATCCCACTTGTTCACCTTCACCAGCTGGCAGATTGGGCACAATACATACATATAATACACAGAGATTAGTGGTGGCTTCAATATACAACAACAGAAGTGCACAATGACGTGTCTTGGAAGTCGATCTTCATGGACCAATTGCCAAGCCGGCATCCGGCGTTTCTCACCTCGTCTCCCGGCTGCGACTTTTCCTCCTTCTTGGCCATGTTTTCTGTACCCTTGTTAGCCCTTTGCTGCCCTTGCTTATTCAGAAAATCGTGTGTGGCAGCAGGAAAAACTCTTTTCGCAGGAGATTCTTCCCTTTTTTTTTTGTGACAACGCGACAACAAAATTTTCTATCGCCTATCGCAGCTTATCGATAACATGCCAGCGTTGCCAGAGCGGGCAGTCGGGTAAAAATACCAAAAAGTTCCTTGCAAATTAAACAGGTGCCCGCGTAATTCAAATAATTTTAAAAGTATTTTAGGCATATTTATATATTTCTTATCTAGCACTCTCAATGCCTTACGCGGCATTAATATGGTATAATTATATATATTTTAAAATAGGATTAAATATTTCTTAAATACTTAATACCTGATGCTTTTAAACTTTAATCGCCCTTTAAAAAGTACAAAACTTGCACGATATCTATAATGAATTGTGCTTACTCAATGATAGAAAATTGTCAACTACTTTTAAAACTAAAGAAAAATGTTATTTAAACCAAAAATGTTATTAAAAAAAAATAGACCATAATTTTTTCCTAGAAATATTGAAGTAACATTTATTCATCACCAAGCGTGTTTAATATTTAATGGAAAAAAAAACTGTCTGAGCCAACTAGTATACATGCATATACATATGTACAAAAAGCTCAGCTTATGCAATAAAAAAATGTTTTACAAAAGAGTGCCTATAAATACAGAGTATGAAATCAATTCACATGGACTTCAGCTGCGCCATCAGGTCCTCCACACTGGTTTCGTCCGCGGGCGCAGTTACACTTTCCCCTGGATTTTCGCTGGATTTTTCGGGGGCTTCGTAGGCCAGTCGTAGACCCTCGCCAACCTCAGAGCTTTTGGCTGGCTGTGGATCACTTGGCGGTGAATCTGCGGGCACCAACTCAATGCCCCACTCGTTGGTGGCATGCAGTGGCTCCTCGCTGACCACCTCCTCCTTTATCACCACCGGCTTGGGCCTGGCCTGGAACTCCTTTTGCCTGAGCAAACAATAGCTATCGTCGCACTGCGGATTCGGCTTGAGCGTCATCCTGGGAAAGAAGTCGCTGAGGGCATTGTAGCCCAGATAGTCGGATACCTCGCCGAAGTTCAGCAGATACTTGAGGGCGTTCTGGACGAGGAAGCCGGCCGTAATGCCCATGGTTGTGGGCAGGGAGGCGGCGCACACGCCCTCCCGTTTCAGCGTCCTCTCGTCAATGTTCTCGGCCACCACCAGCGGCGGAGCACAGGCGAAGCAGGCGGTGTCCCCGGGCCGGATGAACTGGATGTGCCCCGAGACGGCGTTCTCCGAGACGCCCGACTCGAACCAGTTCAGATTGCGCTCGTTGCACGCCGCATTGATCGCCATGCGGGCCTCAAAGTTGTCCACACAGCTGAGCACCAGATCCACCGGTTGCCCGTCCACAAAGCCGCACTGCGAGATGGTGTCCAGGAAGCGTTCGAAGTTGTCCACCGTCGTGATGTTGTAGTTGTGCGCCTCAATCCGCACGTCCGGATTGATGAAGCTCAGCGTATCGACGGCGGCATCCACCTTGGAGAGACCGGCCTGGTCGGGCGTGAAGAACAGCCGGTTCATGTTGGCCAGCTCCACCTTGTCGTAGTCGAACAGGATCAGTTTGCCAATGCCGCAGCTGCAAGAAATGAGGCTAATTAATAGGACATCTACATAGCTTAATTTACCAACATTGTGGCAAGTAAACAAATGAAATTGATCATAGCTTTTGCATGAGGAGCACTCCCACCCATCTAGGTACTACCTTCGCTAAGTAAACTAGTTAAGGGTTCTCTCAAGACTGACTAGCAGTTAGCATTTCTCGCAGTGTACGAACCGTGTCAGCATGTCGGCGGTGACGCTTCCCACGCCGCCGACGCCCACAATGGCCACCGCCTTGTCCCGGATGCGCTCGTAGTCCTTGACAATGTTCATCCGCTGCAGGGCCATTAGCCGGCTGTAGGGATTGGAGTCCACCACCTCGGCGGACATGCGTGCGATGCGGTCGCGTACCGGACGATTTGGACCACCGCCAGTACTTCCACTGCCGATCCGGTGCTCCTCCATCTCCGATTTCATCTCCGCGATGATCGCCTGCAGTTCGTCGATGGCGTTGGACATCCTGGCGATTGGCGATGGCAAATCCCGATCCTCAAGCTTTTGTGCACGGCAAAAAGAGCCTGTAAACTTTCGCTTTCGATTTAGCTTCGCTGCCGCCGTGTCACTTTCGGATAGTGTTACCAGATGGTGAATTTTAATTTCCCCCCAAATGGGCTCTTTACCAGCACTGGATTACCGCTAAAAACTGCACATTTCCCCCTAAATTTAAATGTGAGTTTGGTTTCAAACATGTTAATGAAAGTAAAATATATTAAACTGACAATTGTTTAACAAATGTATATTATATCAATGTATTTGAAATTTTTGCCAGTTTATAAACAAAACCCACATTGAAATCCTATTAACTTTAGTTATTGTACCCCATCGAAATGCTCGATGGCCGTCAGTAAAAATACCGCAAAATACCAAAATAAATAATATTGTGAGGATAGTGCTGGAAAATTCTAAAAACGGCGCGCTTATTTGAATATAAAGTTTGACAGCATGATAAAGGGCATTTTTTAAGAACAAGTCAACCAAATCCCTTAATTCAATGTTTAATATACATTTTTTTAGCTGTTTACAATATCAAAAGAAAACTAATTCGATATATAAGAACCAACTACCCAAATAGAACCCATAAAAATAGATATATAAAGTTTATTGTTAATTTTTTCCTTAAATCATTGCCAATCCTTTGCTGCAATTTTTTTGGTGAATTGATTCATACGATCGATTTGTATAATTACACAAAAGTTTTATTGTCAAAATCATTACACAAAAAAGGTATTATAATTATTAAATAACCAAAAAAAAAAAAGAACAGTTAAAGGAAGATGACGATAGTTGTGGTGTTGCTTTTCGTATTAAATGCGACAAAAAAATAATTCATTTAGGTACTATTCAATAAATCGAGTGTTGGAGCACGTTTATTATTTAATATTATCAATATTACTGTATAAACCGGTGACTATCACTTGCCAACAAGTAGAGATATATGTATGGATAAGTGTCCGTTCTGTGTAGCTTATTGTGTACGGTGTGCTGTCCGCCATCTCGGTGACCACCGTCCATCCGCGTGGGTCACCTGCACCTGCTCCGTCCGTCCGTCGGGGTCACCAGGTTCAAAAGGTTCACCTGGTCCGCGGCTGCAGGCGCACTCGGAAGCCCTCCTCCCGCTTCAGGATGATGTCCGCCTGCAGCTTGAAGTCCGATTCGGTCAGGTCCGAGTAGACACGGTAGTTCCGCAAAATGGTCGACAGAAGGATCTTTAGCTTGAGCATCGCATACTTGCGCCCTGAAATTAAATGGATTGTGGACGTCCTTAAATCATACGTATTTACTTGTATAATGTGATTTATTTAATTCTTTTAAACATGTTCTTTGATTTAATTAAATACTTTTGTCTTCTAGATGTTTTATCTTTTTAATACACAGATATTTCTACTTCTTCAACATATAAAAACAGAAAGTCTAAATAATCACTAGTTTTAAATGGATAAAAAGTTAAACAAAGAATGCAATTAAAAAAAAAGTCTTCCGAATTTTGATTACATAAAAAGATAAATGAGGGAATATGTCTTATTAAAAATAGTTAGAGAGACATGAAATTTCTTCATAAATGGTTTTTGCAGCTAATTATTTTGAAAAACTATTTAAATTAAACACTTTTATATGAAAACTTACCCACACAGCTGCGTGGTCCCGCGGAAAAGGGCACGAAGGCATAGTAGTGGCGGTTGGCCTGCCGCTCCGGCAGAAAGTTGTCCGGATCGAAGACATTGGGATTGGCGTAGACCTTCGGATTGCGGTGCAGCAGGACGGTGGCCACCGTCACCGTGGCGCCCCTGGGAATCACGTAGTTGCCGGAGTTCAGCTTGAGGTCCTCCTGCAGCTCGCGGGCGATCAGCGGTACGGGCGGGTACATTCGCAGCGTCTCCATCAGACACCGCTCCAGATACTTCATCTCCAGGGTGTCCTGTCATCGGGATGTACACAGTTTTAGATGCAGATACAGGAAGTTGAAGAAATGATTTTAATGTTAACCACTAATGTGCATTAAATTGCTCAAATATGGAATGTCAGAGCTCTACAACCACATTATTTGATAGATAGAAATATTAAAACATTGACTTAATGTAGCTTATTAAACAAAAAAAACTATAAGATACTAATATTTATATTAATATATTAAGAATGATTGGTATTCACAGAAGGAATAAGACATAAACCCTTAGGTTTTATGATTTATCTATACACAGGGAAATGTAGCAAAAGTTGTAGGTTTAAAAACAGTGTCGAAACATTTTGAAAATGTAAATGCATCAAACCAATTTACTACTTAAATTTTTTGTTTTATTTATTTAATTGTTTTTACTTTTTTTTTGCACTTAAAACGTGGAATAACTTTCTCTGTGTACCAATTTATCGTAAGTTTGAGCTTAAGTAAGATGTATACCTAACTTCAATGAGATACCCACCTGAAACGTGGCCGGTCGCTGTGAGTCACCGAAAATGGAGTCGAGTTCGGCGAGCACGCGGTCCTGGATGTCCTGGTGGATGCCCATCAGCGAGAGGAAGAACGAGGAGCCGGCTGCCGTGGTGTCGTGACCCTCGAACATGATGGTGTCCACCTGCTCCTTGATCTCCGTGTCGGTGATGATGGCCCCGTTCTGGGCACTTTCGAGCATCAGGTCGAGGAAGGCCAGCCGTTTCTTTTCGCCAATGTCGTTGTCCTCTACATCCAGGTCGTCCTTGAGTCCGGCCGACTGGCCATACGAAAGTCCAGCCACCGGAGCGCCATTGCTCTTGTCATCCTTTGCGCTAGCTGCCTGATCCTGTTCCGGCTGATTCTGCCCATTCTGGCCATTCTGCTCGCTCTGTTCCCTTTCCAAGGCAGCCGCCTTGAGCTCACACTGGGCCAAGGAGCCACGGGTGCCCTGCTCGAAGGCCGCCTTCTTGCTCTTGATCACCTTGGTGGTCAGGCCGTGGATGATGTTCAGCAGGCGCCCCTGCTCCTTGTAGTACCT